CTTTTTTCTTTCAGTTTGATGTTTCTTGAATCTCTCAAATGCAATAACATCAACTATACTGGCTAGCATAGGCATCAGGGGGCAAGAGGGACACTTGTCCCCCTTGAGAACATGGGGGAACTTTTAAAAAGGTCGGGAAAAACAAACTAAATAGAAATAAGAGAGGAAATGGGATGGAAGTCACCGATTTGCTCCACCCTTTAATGGGTTATCATAAATTCTCATTTGTCATTTGTCACCAGGTTTGTTCCATTTTTTCCCATTGTGGGTCACAAAATGGTTTGTCCCCGTTAGAAAAATCCTGGTGACGCCCATGCTGGCTTTTAATTTATTTCAACAGTAAAAGTGAAGTCCCTGCGACCAAGATGGCTGCTTTTTTGTGTGTTTGTGGTTACAAAGAGCAGATATGTAATTTCCACCAAGTAACTGAATCATCTTTGGTGAGCAAAATGTAAGAACTTGTTTGGAGAGAACAAACAGACAGGGAAAGTTCAGCATCATTTTCCGAACAGTTTTCTTGGGCAATATGATTTTCAAGATTTGTTTCTTACCACTTTTGGGAAGTACAACAAGACGACAGGTACAATCAGCATCCCACAGGAGAAGGTCAGTCCAAAAAGGGCATTATTGTGGAAGGTGGATAAATTTTCTGAACGGGAAAGAAAACATATATCAAATTCAACTTGTGGAGAGTTTTTGAGGAGAAATTTGTCAAAAGTGAATATAGTTACAAAAAGATGTGTTGTCCCGGAAACGGTCAAATTTGAGGCTGCGGAGTACATGGCAAACTTTGACCTCCACACCGATATTAAGCAGCACATTGTTCATTCATTGTTAAGCATGGTATTACAGTCCATTCTCCATCGCACAATCTTTCCTCTCCTGTGAAAATTAGTGTTCTTGAGATCAGAATTTGTTGCATGCCATTAGAATGTGATAACTACCTTGTGTACGGAGGCTGGTTTAACAAAGAAATGACCCTTTTGGTTGTCATAAACAATACTGCCCTCACCGGATCATATACGGAGAAAACAGCTCGTTTGCTCCAGAATCCTATGTAATAAGTCTGTAAAAATTATACTGATTTCATGGGGGAAAATCTTATCATTTATTTCTTTAGAAAAGTTATAAAAATAAAAACATCCAGTCAAACTTACCGAGTGGAGAGACAAAGAAAACTAAAGCCGACAGCAAGAATCCTAGATTGAGTCCCGCCAGCAACATGGACCAAAGGTACTTGCCAAAACGCCACCACAGTGCAAAATGTACAGCGCCCCCTAGCAGACCAAATGCCCCTGCGATGGCACTCAGGGCTGAGAAAGAAGAAAAAAGATGGATCAAATCTCTCAGAATTTAAACGAGGGCTCAGATCATAAGGAAGAATTTTGAATAAAGAGCTGAACAACAAATCAAATCAAGTTTGACGAGAAGACGATCAAACTGTAGAGGTCAATGAACATGTGAATCCGCCCCGAGTTGAAGTGTACCCCCAAGCGGCAAAAGAAAGACAGATGGTAGTAAGTTTTCCAAGCGGATTCTGGCATGCGTTCTGAGTGTGCGCAGAGACCATACCTTTATAAGGAATAAATTTGTTTCACACGTACTCAGCGTATTCCAAACGCGCAATTGATCTCCATTATAAATGCGCGCCTGTGTGGTGAGTACCAAAAAACACACCCTCTTTTGTTCGACTTGGAGCGGATTATGGCATAAGCTGTGATAATTAACTCAACACTTCTTACCAAACGGACTCATCGGAACTTGAGAACCAAAGACCATGAAAGCACCAATGAAGAAAGGGACAAATCCAACAAAGAATATCTCTGAAATTTTAAAGAAATAAAAAATAATGAGACGAGGGCTATAAACAAATCGACATCATCAACAACAAAATGCACTTTGTGTGAAGTAATTCAGAAGGAAATTTGTCCAGATGGTGTAGATCTTCAACAAGAGACCTGAACTGTAATGAAGGCACAATGTGTTTATTGCCCAGCATTCTGAGAATGAAGCTGGACTCCATACTGCACTGTTGTTCAATCAAGTAGGGCATTATATGCGTAATATCAAGAACATTGAGTAATGGGAATGTAAATTATTTCAAATTTCCATCTTTGTTTAGAGTTTGGTGTTGCTTTGGTTTTTTGCCCATCGTGGTGAAAGTTAATTATTATTATTCAAATACCAGAACTTTTTGAATATTCACTTTGCAATAAAAGATTTTAAAGAAATGTCCAACATACATAAGTGAATGATGAGATGAGGGTCCAACTTTCCAAAGATGTAGGCCAGGGGAAATAGAACACTCTTTTGGTCACTCACAGAGCATATGGTCACGCACTATCAAATACATCAGACATTACTGAGCACCAGAGAATGATGCTTATACATAGTTCTCTTTTTATGCGTACGTGTACATGGACCTAGGCTGATGTACAATCGTGTGCACTACCAATATTAGAAAGTTTACGATTGCTCCATACAGCACATGTATAGTAAACTATTGCCCGGCTTACGTGGGCAATAGTTAACTACTACACCTGTACATTTGAATATGTGTGTGGATCTTTATCTGCACATGTTTCATAGAGGCTAAAATAACAACTGAGACATGCTTTTGATCATGAATATGCACGAGTATGATAATGCCAAATCTGATTTTACATGCTAATATTCGAATACAAACCCATCTTTATATCTACAAGTGAGAAAATGTGCCAAACTTTGTCTCTTTACCATAACTGAAGATGCGATGGCCAAACAGGCAGATGACTAGACCAGCAAGGCCGGTAAATGTCGCAATCAATATGACGCCAAAGTCAACTACGGAGAAAGGCAAAAGAGGAAGGAAAAATGAGAAACAGAAGCAGGAAAAATATCTCAAAACCCACAAATACAGATATACCATCCCTGTCAATCAAATCAGACAATCACCAATTGACATTGATCCATAATCAGCACTCCTCCTCTTCAATAATTAATAATCAATGGTTAATCTTTGATAATCGGTAACGATAACTCATTGCTGATATCAATAACCATAATAATCGATCTTCAATAAAAGTGATCATTCCTCACCAATCATTAAATTAATGATCAATTAATCATTACCGATCAATATTACATCACTGACCATCACAACAATGACAATAACGATCTTTGCAATATTCAGTCTTCAATATTCAATTATCATCAAAAACCAATAATAACTTAATCATCAATAATCACTAACTTTAGCTATCGAAAGCATCACAAATCACAAGAAACACACCCGCTGAGTCTTACCATCATCTTTGCATGCAAGACTGTTATCCTGGAGCTCACAAGAGTACACCACAGCTGGTACATAGGCTGCCTCAGTGCCAAAGGTAGGATCAGTCACAATAACATTGTAAATAAACCCACGACTCCGATAATTCACCTGGTAAAACTCTGTGATGTCTTCCTTCTTGAAAGTCTGGATCTGTTATAATAGTTACAGAAAAAACAAACACCTAATCCTTGAAGCACATTGATCACGCCACACTTGATTTCAAAGGCAAAAAGCTGAAACATTTCTGCAACTCTGCAGCCTGGAAGAATTTTCCAAAAGCAAGATTTGAGGCTCTGCATGACTTGATTTACAGATTTACAACGACTGAAAAAAGAATAAGGGAAAGGCGAGTCCGGTTGATGTAGTTGGTTCTTTCCTCGCTTTCTGCCTCTGCGGTCCTAGTTCCGTTCCTACCACATGTGGATTGGTTTTCAGTCCCTACCTGACTCTGTGGGTTTTACCCAGAATATTCCTCTGGGGTTTTCTTCCCACCTCTAAAACTGTGAGGCTGCTTCTCATTGTCTCCTCTCTACAGGTTTCTTCAGCCTTGCAAGCTACAGTGCCAAGGGCACTTTTGAGGAATCCTCGGCGTCATTACCAGAAATGATTAATAATAATGATAACAAAAAAAGCACACTACTAAAAAGGGCAACACATGTAAACAAAAAGTAATGACAAATGAGAAAATGGCTGCCAAATATGGTACTTAGAAGGCGAGACAACAACACAGTACACGGCGGTTTGACTTAAAGATGGCTGGGTGAGTTCTGACAAGGAATTCAACATCTGTACCATGGAGAGGATCAGTGAGTCTTTGTTTCTTTGAGTTCTTATTCACAGATTGTTTAGTTGCCATGTGTTACTCAAGGTATGCCCTGAGTCGACAGATAAGCAGATATTTATTTTTTATCAAAGGCTGGGAATTGCGTGGAATATTTGTCAACCTTCATCATCTCTGTGCTTCAATATTTTCTTACCTGTTCTCCATATTTCCTGATGTCGCCAACCCTTGACATTTTCATCATTTCATCAAAGAATGTCTCATTGTCAAACTCCTGCGCCCCTAGATGGCGCACATAAAGGGCATACGTGAGGCGAAATCTGAGTGATGTCGTACCAGAATCGCAAGACGATGGGATGCTGCCCCGTTTCATGCCTACATTGGCTGCAGCAAACTCTAGAACAGTGATGTTCAGGGAGCTCGTGTTGTGAAGGTGAAGGTTAGGATCATTCTCAAGATCAAATTCCTGGTTGCAAGCACCAGGAATCGGAACTAAAGGAGGAAGCAAGAAAGACGTGTTAACAAACATATATGCCCCACCAAGCCCAGGGTTAACCACACAACTGTCATTTTTGGCTTGCAAACAAGATCTGTCTTGTTTTTGTGACCTTTACCCTTGACCTTTCAGGCTTAAATGCAAAAGGCTTGTGGGATTACCAAAAACAATGCAGAAGCCATGTATTTGAAGTTGGTTGCTTCATAGTTAAATTGATGTAACTATAGTTGGCATTTAGAATTACAAGTTCACTCATCTGGCGATATAAAGAGTGCTGTTGTAACAAAATATGCTTTCAAGAACAAATTCCAAACTTCCCGTCCCTTGAAGTCTTTTGATATTCTTTGTTTTTCCAGTCCTTTCATTCTGTTACGACATAAATACACTTTCTTTACACTGGACATAACCTGTTGAAATGACTCAATGAGATGGAGATCGGACTCAGACCTGATTCAGGACTCAAAACTCAAAGTGCAATTAATAACTCACCCAAGCTGGTATTTGAGCTTTGGTACGGCAAAGCAAATAACTGAACCGGAACAGTGAAATTCCAAGACGATGTCAAGAACCATTGGACAAGTTCCTGCCCAGGTTCCAAAACTGAGACCAGTCCAACGTCTGTGCCATTGATGGAATAATCTAGCGTCGGGTTCTGGGTGAGCGAGATCTGTACAGGAATGTTGGGCGTCTGGACAGTCAAAATGAGAAATGAAGTCGATGGGTCCACGTGGTCCAACTGGATGTGAAGTTTTGCAAGTGGTGGCAGATTGCACTGAGTTGGAATTAATAAGTTGAGATGAAGACGGCCATCCAGACCATTAATACACTCTGAAGATTGGGTACAAAAAAAGTGGAATTAGTTACAAGACAACCCCTCCCGATAATAGAAAAGGATTAGGCCGAGGTAAAAAATGAAATATAACGGGCTTAAAGAAAGCAAAATATGTACTGTACGATACACGAAACCAACTATAACACAGTCATACCTGTAGATTATGAAGGAATGGTGGATTTCCTGAATTTCTCAATACGGCAAAATGTTGATACTAACCCAAATATATCTCTCAATTTTCTTATTCCACAATAAGATTTGAAACTGAAAGGAGGCTAATGTTACACTCATCATAGGTTTTGGACTAGACCATTAGAATGAATATCCTGGATTTCCGTCCACTGCCCGCATACCGCTTAAACAGCTTTCAAAAAAATGCCATTATTTTCCAAAAAGTTTTATTTTAGAAAAATCATTGTTGTTCCCATCGGGAATGGTTAAAACATGGCTGCAAAGTAAATCGGGAGTTCGTTGTGTGCCCATGTACAAATGGCATGATGCAAGACGGTTTGAGAGCTAGTCTACTTTCAAGGTTGGTTCCCTTTGCATGGATACGTACTCGCTATTGATGCGCAGTACACCAACTAATGAATAATGAAAAAAGTCTCATGGGTTTCAAAACTGTCGAGACGGAAATCCGGGATGTTCATTCTCACGGCCCTACCTACATGACCTACATGTAGGCCTAAGTCACGTGTATTTCTACACTTAGACCAACTGTAACAAGTTACATTTACGCCTAGTCCCATTCTACATGTAGGCTCAGGATATTATCTCGATTACCATTGATCACAACTATTTTCAAAGGAGGAAAGTTCTATAGCCTAATCTTGAGATCTTCAGTGCGTGCCACGAACATGATGCGTCATCATGTCATGAATGAAAGTGTCATTTCATGAGGCTAGCATGCCTAGGCCTAGTTAGGCCCAACAACATGCCATTTGATGAGGAAAAGTTAGTAGAGTTTATTTTTAAACACAATTAGACCCCTACCATCATGAAGAGCCACTTCGGTTGATACTTGAATTAGCAACAAAAAAACAAACTCGGAAAAATGATAAACTTTCATTCTGACACGATTTGGAGAACAGGACTCGACCCGTGACTGATTTATTGCCTCGCTAAACCGCGCCCTCAGTCGGCACAAGTTGTACCACTCGGAAGAATCAAGACTGCCTAACGACTTATTGTCAAGTCTATGGATTCATTTCTACCCCACGATTAGGCCCTGTACTATACCATGAACAACTTGAACACTGGTAAAGAAATTCGGTCACTGAAACTAATGTCTGTAAATTTCCAAATGCTAAAACAAAGTTATCCCAAGGTTGGTTGAAATAAACATCTTCGTCGTGTGGAAAGTGTTTCTGTCTAGGCAAAGTGTATCATGGAAGTAGGTCTAACTTGGAACATGGAGGAAGGAACACATTCCTTCCTCCATGCTTGGAAGAATAAACGCCGAAGAAACGACCCGTACTCCGTTAAGTTGGCAGGACGCCCTCACATGAGCCTTCTCTAAGGGCGCATTACACTAATTCAAGCTTTCGAAAAAGGAAAGTGTTTGACTAAAAGAAAGCTGAGATTGTGTAAATATATGGCAGAATCTATTCCCTGGTTTCGGTAATTTCGTCCAGGGGTACGGCTGATGAAATGACAGTTGAAAAACGGCCCAAAACGACACACCTGCATCATGTGCATGCAACCGTGGGAACTTAAACCGTGGAGGTTGGTTTCGGTGGGGGGGGGGTGGATATAAATAATTAAAATTGTAATTGATTAACCCACACATTAAGGACCAAACGAAAGTTTTTTGTTTGAGAAACTCATTTAATGTTGGTTTGCGCGTGAATTTTGTTGATTGTTTTCACCCGCTCCATGCTTTCACGCCTTGACGACGCTATGGGGGCGCACTTCACATAAGACTAGACGACCTTTGACACTGACATCCGCGGGAATTTCTAAATACGACCTAGCGTTATGCGTGTCATTTCGACGCGACCAATGTTTATAAGTCTTTTCATACATTTTAACTGAATTAAAAGGCTATATTCAGAAACGTGACAGGAATTCAATGTTGATAGAAATATGTCTGATGGTCGGAGATCATCGAGGTAAGTTTTTAAGCTAGTTTGTCAGATCGACATGGTCGTAGACTACTGACTAGTTTTACATGCGTGCCACGGAGAGGCAGGAAAGTTCATATGTACACCATGTACACGTAGCCTCGTACTCGTAGGGCCATCATAAAGCCAAGGTACATAATTACTAGGCCTGCGGATTCGGACATGAGGTAGGACTAGGTACTTATGCAGTCATGATTGTACTCATGACTTTTGTCATGTTTACACGTAGTTAGGCGTAGGCCTACGTTTTTTCAGACAAGTCTCATACTGCACAGGGGCGTCAATCATGTTAATTGTTGTCAGTATATGGAACTCTTTCCCTTTAGACACCTGTTGGACATTAAAAAAGAAATGTCATCTAGTCATCATTGACGGGCTGTCTAGGGAACACAGAAGTTAAAACAAACTGTCTTCAGAAGATGCATGTACATGTACCATCTCAAGATGGCTAACCACAGGGAAATATGCTGCAGGGAAATATCAGTGACACTGTCGTCCGTATATGGAATTCTTTCCATCATGCCCAATTTGAAATCTCAATTCATCCTCTGCGTACAAAAATGTATAATTTGAACATTTATAAGACTGTGGATATGGTGGAATCTGCAGGAATAGGCCATCTGCAGCTACACAGTGCAGTGGCCTCCTGTGACACATAGCCTTGTCTCGTGCAGTCATCGTTTCTGTCTTGATTTTCAGAGCCAAGAAAACAGTGAAGTATTCAGGCTTCGATGCTGAGGATGACAGTGATGGTAAAATTCATATATATATAAATTGCTTTGATTTGAAAGGTTTGACTATTTTCTGAAATAGCTTGAAATTTGACTTGCAATAAAATGGAGGGTTTTGGGCCATGCAAGTTGTACCTTTCCGGAGTTAAGACAAACTTCCTGGCATCATGCTAGCCACAGATTCTCACAGATTTTGATCCAATTCATTCTGAGCACTAGACGGTAGATTGCTTCAAGAAATGGTGTGTCATTGCACATTGTATATGCACCCAATCTGATGCCACTTAGCATAGCCTTCCATTTCATTCATTGCTGTTTATCTTTGTGCAAAGATTGAAAAGAACAAAAACAAAAAATTGTTTCATCCTACAAAATAAGGTTTACAGATGGCAAGAATTAGGTTTGTATTATTAAGAAGTGTCATCTTTGTGTCTTTGCAATGTCGAATTGAATACAGGGTGATTTTACGGCATAAATTCCACTTTAATGTCTCGATACAAATGAACTATTGATAAACTAAGATGACATCTTGACAGCTGCATTTCCAAAATTTTTATATTTATAGTCTGTTTCCGCATTATTATGCATAATTAATTGGTAAGTAGTTTGCACACAGAGGCAGGTTACCATTACTGGCCTGACACAGTACTAACAAAGGCCTGCCTCAATATTGGAGTTGTGCCTCAAAGAAAGTGACACAAAGAGAAAGTGCGTGTACATGTAGTTTGGAAAAAAAAAAATTTACGGCAGTTGCCCTTATTTTTTTGCAAATGTTTCTGTTTCCATCTAGATGATTTTGCTCGATCGACGCCACCTCCCTCCAAAAGGACCAAACTGGAGAAGAAAGATAAACAGTCCAAGACAAAGGCTGGTGTTCCTAAGACCACTGCGACAACAGATGATGGGAATGTGACTGGTAGAGGTCCTAGAAAAGAACGGTAAAAAATTACGCATAGACATTCATTCACTTGGCTTTCCATGGCAAACAATCTGAACAAAACTGTTTGACATTGGAAATGGGGACCTTTCTGAGTCTTCAATAAGTTTTGCTACTGAAAATTTATAGACGTTTGTTAAGTAGACAATTTTTAGTATGAATGTTCTCTACACTTGATGTCTAAATAATTTGAAATATACCCACTTTAAGTAGAAAAATTACCTTGCTGTTAATGGAGCTAACTACTTTAAAGAAACTTTGGACAAAACTGAGGTCACAATTACTCCATAATTTACTACACTGCTGGTGAATACAGTTTTGCATAACAGGCCTTGTTAAGAGTTTTCATTAATTGTAGCTAAAAGTTGTCCATGAGACCTCTGTAGCGATGACGCAATGTTTTGTTTACATGTGTATTTTTCTTTGATACTCAGTGGACCGGTGGGCACCCAATGGCTCCATAGAACAGAGCGCACACAAACAGTGTGACATCATCATTACATATGCCAATTGTTGTCTTTTTTTTACTAGGGTTCCTCTGGATGAGAAGATATTTGACCGCGAGATGCAGTTAGCTATGGAGCTATCCAGGCAGGAATCTCAACCATCTCAGGACAAACAGACAAAGGAACAAACAACAAACAAACAGACAGCTGGCAAGACCAAGAACGTGGAAGCCCAAATACACACTGGTATTGAAAAAACTGAGGAATGTTCTTTTCCAAGCCATCAAAGATTTCAAATTGTTAAGCCCACACTTGGGAGCTGTACATTTCAATAGAAATTGGTTGCATGAGCGAAGCGTGTCCCATTCCAAGCATGCACAAACAAGTACGCACACATTTTTCCCAGACCAAAGAAGAAACTTTCCTATTAAAAATATGCCATTTATTATTCATCCATCGAGCACATATTTATGCATACTGGTTCAATTCTCTGCATTGGTGGCATACATCTCTCATTTCAAAGCACACATTTGTCTGGTTTGCATGTTCCTACAAACCAGATATTGCTCTAGAAATGTCATCATTCCTGTAATGCATATATGTCGTTCTGTGGGCCGTAGGCAAAGGGTTTTCAAAATGTTTCTGTTTTTATTTTGGTCATGCGGCACTTAATTCTCACATGCAAAAACAAACAATATGTAAATTGTAAATTACCATTGTTTCCTTTGTGATTGCTGGTCTCTTCGTTTCAGATGAGCTGAAGCAACTTACTTTGGCAAAGAATCATGAAGTGATTCATTCATAAGTTTCCAAATATTCAACAAATATTTGGGCCACATCATTCATTTTTATTTCTAAAAAAATTGTCCTTAGAGATTTGCATTAGTCTTTCCCTGAGTCGAAACTCAGGATTTATCGAATTATAGTTTAAACAATGTCTAATCCGAATCGATGTCATTGTTCCACTTTGTACAATTTTTGCTTCTTGTGTGATCAGGGTCAACAGAGAAAACCACCCACGGTGACTGCTCTTCCAAAAATGTCCCCTCAGAAGATAAAGAGAACATCTGTGTCAGGCCAGCCAAGCCAGCCGCTTCCTCCCCAGATCCCTGTGATGAGATTGTTTTGGTGGAGACCTTGGACGAGGATGAGGTTGTATCGGGACGAAGGAAGAGGCAAGCTGCCAAGGCAGCCGTTGCTAAGCAACGGGAGATGATGAGTGAGGAGAGTGATGGGAGAGACGAAGACGAAGAGGATTTTAAAGCTGGTACGAAAAGTGGCAAGAAATTGAATTCTGTGGCTGTTGGAAGACACTTATGACAAAGTCCCTCATTTGAAAAAGTGTCCCCAATTTTCCCTTTGGTGGTTTCTGCAACGCTACAAACTTATCATCTGAAAATATTCTATGTGAGGTCTAAAAATTTCCTTAGTCAACTACTTAAAATAGAATAAGCCAAGTTTGAGATTTTTATAGGCAAGTAAGCTGCATAAGCAAGGTGGTTATTAAAATCTAACAATGTGAAGCCTTGCTTGGTACCGAATTAAAATTGGAGCATTGGAAACAATTAATATTCATAAAATATTTGAGTAGTCATGCTTGATATTTGTGTTTGATGTTAGAGAGTGGAGATGATAGCAGTTCTGATGAATTTGATGCTGATGATGCGGACAGTGACTATGAAGAATTTGCCTCGTCAAAGAGTAAGACAACGAAAACGAAAGGGAGGAGTCCAAGATCCTCTGAGAGAGGCAAGAAGAGTGATGCTGTAGGCAGAACAAAGAAGACGTCAGGTGACAAGAAATCCAAGCCAGCAACAAAAGCTGCCAAAAGGACAGGTATGTTATTAAGACTACAGGCCACCTACGGAACATTAATGAAGTTCAAATACTTAGATAAGAAAGATGTTCAATCTCTTGACTGATGACAGATCTGATTTTAATTCATTTACGGGATTTACTCAAATGTTAAATTTGAAAAAATATCTGCTATCATCTGAGCTGTGATATAAAGAATTTTTGAATTTTGGAATTAAAATATGTTTTAGGATGTTGTTTGTGTGTTGTAAAGATTTGGAGGTAAGGTCAACAAGTCTGAAATTTTCTTTCAGAATTTTTGATTTCAATTTTGTTGCTCACATCAGATTCAACACCAAAGCCGTCAGTACTCAAGCCATCGACTCCAGTCACACCCCTGGCTAAACATCCACAGAAAACAGGCCACATCAGAGGGTTCACGCCCCCAGCCACTACGAGAGATAAGAACTCACAACCAACCAACCAGAGGGTGCTACAGTCGACGGCTGTTGTCAGAAAACCCGGGTGGTCCTCACCAAGCAGTGAGTAAATAAACATTAAAATGGTTTCTCAGTTTCCAAAAATCAGTAGCTTTTTCTTTTGTTACTTTCAGTACATTTGATTGCTTCCTTCTCCAATGCTTACTAGTGACTGCATTGAGTGCATTCGTCTGATACATTTCTCATACTTACTCAAACTGCTCCAAACTAGCCACCCCGATGAGCCCTTTCCTTGGAAACAAGTCTCACAAAGGAATGCAAAAATATGGTAGCTAAGTCAAGAGCTGAGAAGAAAAGTTGGCACCTTTTTGAATAGGGAAAACAGTTCAGTGTGGTGGCCAATTACAATTCCATGTACATGTAAATTCCGTGAAATGCACACAGAACATCCCCAAAGCAGGATGTCATCCCAACTGTAGTTGTGGCATTAGGCTGATTCTCAAAAGTTGACTGTTTTTTTTTTGTTTTATTTTGTTTTTGAAAAGGGAAATTTTCAGCCCAAATAAAATGCCCACAACTGGTTAAGTAGGTATCTTTGTCTTTGTTGTTTTTCATTGCAATTTTTAAAATTCTTATCTTTAATTTTTTTTTCATTGCAGATGCCAGTGAATCCAACCCTTTAGGAGGGGTCAAGTTAGTCTCTCCGAGTCAACCAATACGACTTGGTCTTTCTAGAAACGTTCGGATTAAGCCACTACACCCGAATGCCAAGGTGCATTAACGGCTTGTACCGAGACTAACTACTTTTGTGTACATTTAAAACCTGCTTTGAAAAGTGATTACAAAGCACCTTAAAAAGTGTCATCTACAATTCTCAATTTGTATATGAAAAGGAATTTGATCAATCTTCCAGAAAACTAAGGAATGAAACAGATGTTCTTTTCTTTTGTAGTATGACCAAGTTTTACTGTTTGTAAGCTTCATATTTATCAATTTTGTACAAAGCACTTACTTTTTTAAAGTATAGCTCAAGTTGACCAGTGTGACTCATTTCCATTTAACATGATTTGCACATAAACAAGAACAATTATCTAAAAGGGTAGATTTCTGTTCTTCTCTTAGACGTCCAAAAGTAATTTTCAGGTCACTTATAATTTTAAACGTAAGAATTTTTAAAATAAAGAACCCACAAAGAACTTGGATATGACCATTTTGGGGAGTTTTAGTGGATGCATTCTTGTTATGCTAAGCACAGTTGTCTTCAATCTGGGTGCGGCCTTCCCAAACTTCAATTATTTTGTCCCACCTGTTTGCATTTTGTCTAACAAGCCTACAATCTCTTTGATTTAAAAGATGTACCATACTGAGCATTTCAAAAAATGTCTGACTCTCACAATTCAGCTCCATTATCATTAAAACTGTGAAATGAAACCCTACTCTGAATGTCCAAATCTATACCCCACTACTCATCGAACAAAATTGTAAGTTTAGCAGACTGAATTAAAATAAACCATAAAAAGTGTTCAATTATGTAGAAGCACAAATCAAATATATGACCCAAACTAACAATACGCCTCCCAAATCACCAGAGCTAGTTATAAGTTCTAGGCCTTTGTGAGATTCTTTGACAACGGAAATCAGTAGGAACTTGCAACATGTTTCACCCAAATACAGTCTAACATCGTTAATAAGAGGCCCTTTGGACTTGGTAAATTACCTTGTTATAACGGGAACCTCATTTCAGGAATAAAGACAATGACGAAGGGAGGGACCAAAGATTGGCCTTGTTAGAAGTGGAATCTAGTATTGACCACTTCTGCTGGGGATTCCAGATCTGGACACGTATGCTTTATATGCGTGGCCGAGGTCTCCGAACTCCGACAAAGGGAACAGGGTCTTGTAACAAAAGACCGTACTCGGAACAAAAGACCAGGCTGATGGGCATTACCAACGTTTTTTTCACTCTCAAGTGTTGAGATAATCCAGCTTTGTTTAGAAACACTATAGCACGGTTTGGCGCATTTAGAGCGAGCGGATTACCACCGGGGACAAAAGTGCTCCACCACCGCAGCGATGAGCCACACAGCACCGCTGCATGCTAATCTGGCCCCTATTGAAAAAAGGTCACCAGTACACTGAGCCAGGTTCGTGAACAAAAGAAAGTTACATAACACCGCACAATCTGGGCTCTTTTTACAAGGCAGCAGGCCTGGCTGAAATACTCAGGCGTCAATAGATTTTGTCTGTCAGGCTAGAGTGGACACCAGACAGTCCTTCATGTTTGTAAGTGTCCAGTAAATGAAGATGCAACAAAATTTTCATGACAAAAACATGTGCATTCCAAACAACTCTGTCCTTGTCGCTTGGTACAAACTAGCATCATTAGCAATGTCAACAAACTTTGCTAATGTCTCTCGCAAGCCCTTTCACAAGTCCTTTGACCAGCCCAGGTAACAGAACAAAGACTGACAAAGACACAAAAGAATTCATGTTATCCACTTGAATGGCCTACAGAGGCCAGACATGGCTTACACATTAATGTACATGTCCACTAGCTATGTACATATCCTTAATGCATTAAACAGCGCCCTCATTTATCCAAACTGTCAATATAGATTTGGTATACAATGTGTCGCATTTTAAGATTAAAAGGTTTAAAAAAATATACATTTTTAAAACTGGTGTGGTCAAGTTTGTCCGTAGCCCCACCATGATGCTCCTTGTTTCTTCAAGACGCCCTCTTTCTGTTTAAGAGAAACAAATCCAAATTCTCAAATGCGATATGAAAAGCTTTACTAGGGCAGGACAAAAGACAAGATTTCCTTTCAGGGGCAGCACAGGAGCTGAGCTAACTTTTACAGAACGGCTTTAGGATCATCTGATCAAACACAAATATTTGCTGATATCCTGTATTTTAGGAAGCATACCTCTTTTCTGGTAAATTGAAGTATGGTTGCTATGGCGTTAAACATCTGTTGTCTCTTGGAATGACTCTCTGTCTGGAAGTAGCACAGCACAACGTTCTTCAGATATTCCAAATTGGTTCCTTCCCGCGACCTTCAAGAAAAAAACGTCTATTGTTAATAGGTTGGTTTATAAAACCACAAAAAGCAGGTCCACTCAGCTCTGACAGAGTGTGAGAAACCAACACATTTTCTGAAGTTTGGGAAACTGCATTTTTGTGCTTAATTATTTTATTCTTGTTTTATGGGAGTAAATCCAGCAAGATCTTGATGGAATGTCAAGGCCTAATCATCAGTAAATGTTGATACGATGTCTTGAATGCAAATGTTTGCTATCCGAACGCTGCAAAATAAATATCAACCATTATGTCTTGAGGAACTTTCAACCCTGACCTCTTTAATAGTTGACTCCTTGACCTCTTGGTTGTCCCCTGACCCTTGCTTCAACTCCTGACCCTTTAGCTCGACTCCTGACCCCAATGTTCAACCTTTAACCCATATTTCATCTTTAGACTAACACTGACCTCTATAGGTTGACCTCTGATCCCTTTGTTGAACCTCTGAACCTTGGTTCAGTCCCTGACCTCTGCTGAACCATTGCACTTGCTTTGACCTCTGACCTCTTGGTTCAACGTAAACTGATCACCTACACAACCCTTGACCCTGTGGTTTGACCCCTGACCTGTTTCTCTTCCATCTTTCAGCTTCCTCCCTCAACTGATCCAGTTCTTCCTCATGCATTTGTGCTGCCATCGCATGCTTTTCCTGCAGCTGACGAAGGGCACCCTCTAGCTGCTGCTTCTGTTTCTTGATGCTGGCGAGTTCCACCTCACGCCGTGCCCGCTCTTCGGCAAAGTGGAGCAAGGAAGGGTTGTTGCTTTGAACCTGGAAAAAAAGACATCAAGAATGAGCAAAGATGTTACACTGCTGCATTCTTGGAGAAAGGTGGAGACCGTATGGTACAACATGTGCATATCTTCAATTTTACCAAGGGAATTCTGAAATTTTCTTTGCAAGGGTACTGTAAGTTGTTTGATGAACTGAAAGACCATCTCTGGGAAACTACTTTTGTTCAGGCAAGTGAGGACTGCATTGTTATTATTTTTTCTGTCAAGCATTCAACACATATATTAACACTTCCCATCTCAACAAGAATACTCTAAAATGATATGATTGCGAGAGGTCAACAAGGTGATAAGAAGAGAAATAATATGCCTTAGTAGCCAACGAGGTTACCGACCAAACTGTAATGTTATGTGTGTTACTGGTCACTGGTTCCCAGCAGGCATTCTTATTTAGCACAGATGTATTTGTTAAGCAACATGTATCCTGTTGAAAGACCTTGAAATCTGGAGCTGAATCAAAGGGAAAAAACATGAATCATGTTACCATGGAAACTTGGAGTTGCGATACCGTTTCATCAGCCTCAGATTTTGGTTGCTCATCACTTTCCTGGAAAACATCGCCTGAAGACTGTCTGCGGAGGCTGAAATCGCTGTGAAGAATAGACAATGAAAGTCTAAAGTTTACCAGTTTGAGAGTGACAAAGCCCTTGTAATGTCTGACACACTAACTCAATATGCTCTTCACAACAGAGACAATGAATGTTGTCTCAAACCCGTCAATAGGCCGATAATTCAGTGACATCACATTTTGTTTATATGTGCACTTTCCTACGGCAGTGAGGTAGGATGCAGTCCATCACACCCCCCATAGGAAAGCACATAAAACAAAGCATGATGGCATTATGTGTTCGAAGCGAGTATCTCTGGTTGCTTGCATTTTGGGGGGAAAAAGAGATGGGGGGGTCAGATGGAGGGTAGGCTAAGGGTGGGGATGAGGGTGGGG